CATACGGGCCTACATACCAGGTCCAAAGCCCTCTACTCAGCACTGATGGTCAAACCCTTCTAACAGATAAAACCTCCCTTCTGAATCGATGGTCTGAACACTTTCAGACTCTTTTCAGTACCAACCGTGTAGTTCAAGACTCAGCAATTCAGTCCATCACACAACAACCGGTGAAACACGAATTGGATACTGCCCCCACTTTAGGAGAAACCCTCAAGGCCATACAGCAGGTGAAAATCGGCAAGGCAACTGGAGTTGATGGAATTCTACCCAAAGTCTGGAAACATGGGGGCCTTGCACTCCATGCTAAATTCCACGAGTTTGTGGTGCGCTGTTGGGAACTAGGCCAACTACCATCAGGCCTTCGAGATGCACTCATCATCACTTTGTATAAGAAGAAAGGTATTAAATGAGACTGTTGAAATTACTGTGGTATTACTCTGCTCTCCATTGCTGGCAAAATCCTGGCAAGAATACTCTTGAACAGACTAATACCCACTATAGCAGAAGGAATCCTTCCTGAAAGTCAGTGTGGCTTCAGAGCCAACAGGAGCACCACAGACATGATATTTGTCCTCAGACAACTGCAAGAGAAGTGTAGGGAACAGAACAAAGGTCTCTATGTAATCTTTGTCGACCTCACCAAGGCTTTCGATACTGTGAGCAGAAAAGGTCTGTGGCAGATTTTGGAACGTTTAGGTTGCCCCCCCAAGTTCCTTGAAATGATCATCTCACTCCACAAGGATCAGCACGGCCAAGTCAGATATGGCAATGCACTTTCTGAGCCCTTTCTAATAAAGAATGGTGTGAAACAAGGCTGCGTTCTCGCACCAACCCTATTCACAATCTTTTTCAGCAGGATGCTCCAAAGGGCCACGGCAGACCTCGAGGATCAGGACGGTATCTACATTCGATACCATACTGATGGAAGCCTTTTCAACCTAAGGTGACTGAAGGCCCACACCAAGACCTTAAACCATCTTGTCCAGGAGCTGCTTTATGCTGATGACGCCGCCCTTGTTGCCCACACAGAAGCAGCCCTGCAGCGTTTAACATCCTGCTTTGCAGATGCTGCTGAGCTCTTTGGGCTGGAAATCAGCTTAAAGAAGACAGAAGTTCTCTATCAACTTGCACCTCAGGAAGTCTTCCATCATCCCCATATCACCATTGGCCAATCAGAGCTCAAATCAGTCCGGCAGTTTAATTACCTAGGCAGCCTCATCTCCTCGGATGGTAAGATCGACAGAGAGATAGACAACAGGTTAGCAAAGGCATATAGTGCCTTTGGAAAGCTCCATAAAAGAGTTTGGTGAAATAAACACCTGAAGAAAAGTACAAAGATCAGTGTTTACAGAGCCATAGTTCTGTCTGAATTTCGGGTCATCTACCCCCACCACCTGCGACTCCTAGAACGCTTCCATCAACACTGCCTCCGTACAATCCTAAACATCTACTGGTCAGATTATGTGACCAATACATCTGTTCTAGAGTAAGCAGCTGTCACAAGCATTGAGGCCATGTTGCTGAGAACACAGCTGTGCTGGGCAGGGCACGTCTCAAGGATGAAGGACCAACCACCGCCTCCCTAAGATCCTGCTCTATGGTGAACTTGCCACCGGCTGCCACATGAGAGGAGCCCCGAAGAGAAGATACAAGGACTCCCTGAAACAACATCTCAGCCTTGGCCATATTGATCATCATAACTGGTCTACTCTGGGCTCCAGTCGGGAGGCCTGGAGACACACCATCTATAACGCTGCTGTTTCCTTTGAGAACGCAAATGCAGGATCACCCTTGAGGAGAAAAGACAATGCAGAAAGAATCGTGTCTTGCAGAATTTACCACCTAAGGAGTCTTTCTGCTGTGCCTTTTGCAACCGGACATGCCTGTCTCGTATTGGCCTTTTTAGCCACCAGTGCGCTTGTAAAAAACGTGGGTAGAGCCCTCCCCAAATCTTTGTTCATGAAGCCCGGCCATGAAACCTAATAAAGAGTGGAGCAGAGGAATGTAATAACCAAATAAAAACTCTTTGGCTTACTAAAGAATGCGTCTGTAGGACTGTAGGTAAATACCTTTTTGCCTGCAGAAAAGAATGGCAAATTCCACAGCCTGAGCTCTAAACATTTAAACGTTTCCCTAAGAAGAAATGGTCTTAATGCATTGGTTCAATTTCATAATATTGTCCAGGTTGTAGAATTATGGCATTGCCCATCAAATGTGGCCTGTCAGACAGAATTACTCCCAAAGTCTGGAACTGTGCACAAATGGGGCCTTTCTGCCTTCCCAGCCAAAAGCTCAAGCTGCTGAACATCCCCCCCAGGAGCGCCTTTGTGGCCAGGGCAGCTGAGAGATCAGGGCTGTCAGTGGGCACTGGCCTGGTCACAGGGCAGGGACATGAGAACAAACTGGGGGGAACTGGTTTAATGCAATCCATGGGTGTCTCTCCATCAGCTTCCTCAAGCACGGAGAGTGGGCATCTCCCTGATGGTGCTTATTTCATCCTTCCCTTGAAAACTGTGGAAGATCTTGGATGCAGTTTAGTCATTCTGTCTTCCTGAGGATCTGTGCACTGTTCATGTGCTGTTTTCTTTCTGTTCCTCACTTGGGTTTTATCAACTGCTTGTATTCTGGATGCACAGGGTGGGATTTGTTTCAACATCCTTGCTTTTGCTTCTTTGATTATGAGTTACTAGTTATAGATACACTGTACATCTCTGTGCTTCTTTAGAAAAAAAATATCTTCATATTGTTTAACTGGGTGAAGCTATTTGATTTTGAAGAAGTCAAATTTAGATTCAGGTGAAGACTGTTTGCTTCCAAGCATGGCTCAGTTTTGAGAGAGGTACTTAAAGGAGAAGAAAAGATCAAATATAAGTGAGATTGTATTAAATTGATTTCAAGGCCTGTTAACCCATCTTAACATTTCAAAGTAATCAGTAGCTCCTCTTTAAATACTTTCAAAAGGGGTTTTTTTAATAATATGCAACAAATTATCCCCTTTCACTGCCTCTTGTATTTGCACTGTATAAATAAGAAATTATTTAGGGAAGAAATTTGACTAGAAAAGTAAGTGAAAACCAAGGTCTTCTTGTGTTGTGACATTCAAGATGTTTCAGTTTCCACTCAGCTTGAAGTGACATGTGTGTGTCACGTGTGACACATGTGCAGTGAGAGCTGCAGGGATCTGTGTGTGCACAGTGTGACCCACAGGAGTGATGCTTGTTGAGGGGGGTGTAAGGGAGGGATCAGACACAACCATCCACAAGTGTGGGTATGGAAAGTGTGAGTTGTGTTAATGCTCTGACAAGCCATGGAGAGCAAAGGTGGTGCTGGTGGTTCTTTAGGTGAGGAGAGATTGTTCATCTGAGGAGAACAGTGAGTCTGAGAACCATCTGCCTCCTGACTCACTGCCTCCTTTACAGTTTATTTTCTCTTTTTACTTAGTAGTTTTTACTATTCTATCTGGGTGGGGTTTCAAAGCTAATGGGAGTTTTCTGGCAAAGATAATATTTTTTAAAGACTTTTGTTGTTGGGTTGTGTTCTTGGTGGTTTGGGGTTTTTTTGTTTTGTTTTGTTTTTTAAATCTAAATTCTAGAGAGCTGAGTAAACAACTTCCTTGGGGGAAAAAAACAGTGTTAGTTCACATGCATACAGGGAAGATCCTGCCAACTCTACTCCTTCCTTCCAGAGTGTAGGTTCTATGAGGTAATTCTGAGGTAATGGTGATGTCGTAAATGCAGAGACTGGTCTTGCCTTCTGCTCTTAAAAGGATGTCTTTTTCTTACTGTTGAAGATACTGAAGTAATGCTGATACTGAGACAACTCATGAATTGGCTCCTTCAGGCTGATATTCACTTCAGCTTTCCAAACTCATGAGCAGTTTACCCCCACACACAGTGACTGTACTTGGGTGCCCAGCTGGTGCATTTTAAATTAGCAGTCATTATACTGCTGAGTCACTTCTGATTGTGATCTCAAATCCACCAGTGCTTTGTATCATCTGGGGCAGGTTCCTTTATCATGTTCCTTATGTTTCTGTCCTGCTGGCTAAGATTCACTTCATTCTTTCTCCTAGTCACTAATTAGTTGTATTCAGTTTCTCGTCATCTGTTCAGTACAGTGCATATATGTATGAGTATTTCTTAAAAATAAAAGTAGCATTTTTGCCCTGGATTTGTGTTGGAACAGATTCAGTTGCTACAAAGCTTAGATGCTGAGTTTGGCCATAATCCCTTAAAGTTGTTCTCTTCCAAGAGTGTCTGCAATTCTTTTTAACTAGTCTCCTCAATATTTCCAGCTTTCCTTCTGTTACTACATCTTGGTTATGTTACAGTTTAGGAGTGTTTCCCTTGTGCCCTGGTGATCCAGTGCAGTTTGTGGCCCTTCGCTGAACTCACTCCAGTATGTCCATGTCTTTCTTTTGAGGGTCCAGAAATGGACATAATACTTCAGATGAGTCTCACCAGGGCTGAATAGAGAGGAAAAGATCACCTCCCCTGCTATCCTAATGTGGCCCAAACATAATGATACAGTTGTATAAATAGTATAAAAGCATAAATGTTTCACCACCCTGGAGGTGAGAACTTCAGGAAACGACTGGACATGGCAGTGCTGTGGTGTAGGTGACAAGGTGGTGGTTGGTCAAAGGTTGGACTCGATCTCGGAGGTCTTTTCCAACCTAATTGATTCTGTGATCTTAAAGGTCCCTTCCAACATTAACAATTCTGTGATTTTATAGCCCACAAACTTTTAGTTAGTTGGAGTAAGTTGGGTTTAGCAGCCAGTCCTCGTGGATGAGGCTGAGAAGGGCCTCATCCTCCCGGGGCAGAAGGTTTGCATTCTAGCAGGGATAAGTACTTGCAGAAAAAGGCAATTTCTAAGAAAGCAAAGGTGTTCCATTTTTAAGGTTAATATAACCAGGTAATCGCATATGAAGTAGGAAAGGACTGTGATTCATTTGGGGGACAGGGAAATCAAATGGTTTCCAATTTCTTTCACAGTGTATTTCTCTGTAGCTGTGGTGCAATCAAGAGCCAACCAACATCATCTGCTGCCAGTAGGAAATCTCCATGTCAGTCCTTACCCTTGGCACAGGATAAAGTTGCAACTGAGCCTATGAGGAGGAATTAACAGGAAAAATCCAATTCATGTTCAAAGGTAAACTTTGACCAATGATGAATAACAAATATGAAAGTAAAACCTGCACTTTTTCTTATGTTGTGTATTGTTTAACTTCATCCTGTTTGCTTTGCACTATTTCTGCAGTGGTGCAGGCAGGGTAGAAATATAGAAATACCTTTAGGATAACTGTGTTTTAAATTCCAGCAGTCTTAATAGGTTGACTGGCATCAACTACTCTTGTAACGCCTGCTTTAATTTTTATTTGATATTTGTAGAGAACACTGCCTAGAGGTAAGGGTTTCCTGTTTTCAGGAATAAAAAAGTAGGTACAAAGTGCAGTAGAGCAGATGTATTTTTGTTATGAATGGATTTGGCAAGAAAAATTCCCATGCCAGACATTGTGTCATATTCACATGATCTGCTTCCTAACAGGTCCCTGGGTGATGGTGCCCCCAGGAGAGTTCCCTCGTAAGGGTATCCCCCCCCAGACTGCTCATAAACCCAGTCACAACTGCTCAGCAGCTACAGCACTGAAAGAGAATAAAATAATAAAACAAATAAACCCTGTAAATTAGTGTAGTATCAGCTGTGTCCCCTCCCAGCTTCTTGCCCACCCCCAGCCCAGCCACTGTAGGGGCAGAGCAGGACACTGCCAAGGGCTGTGGCTGTGTGAGCACTGCCCCAGAGATACAATATTGATGTGTTTGGTATCAGTGCTGCTGCAGCCACAACTCCAGAGAAGGAACGAAGAAAATTAACTCCATCCCAGCCAGACCCAGGACAGTGGAGAATATATAAATGACAGAAGTATTGACAAGGCAAATAAAAGCACAAATCCTAAACTCTGTTGTGTCTGTGTTAGTATTAGGAAGGCAGAAGGGCTCTAGTCTAGCCAGGCATTTAAATACTTGCTAAACCTCAGTTTATGAGGAGTGACAATGATGTGGTGATTGTGCCTTTAATGAACAGAACCTGTGTTTGGCTGGAGTCTTCAAGTTGCAGGATTATTTACAAGCTGCACATAAGAAAAATCAATAAAAATATGAAATGTTAAGATAGAGAAAACCTTTCAGTATGAGTGATGGACAGCTTCTAGGCTAAGGCAGAGAGGGATGACAAATGCTGTTTGTATTAATATGCTGTAACATGAATGTTTTAGCATTTTTAATAGTCTTGTTTGGGGAAGAGAGGAATGACGTGGGTTACATCACGTTGGAGCACATTCTAACCCCTGTCTCTCCTTGGCAGATGGATTCCTTGTAGCCCACCAGCGAGTCCTGCTGCTGCTGCATGTCTGGCAGCACCTCTGGATGAGCACATGACTCTTGATATGGATGCAGTCCTGTCAGACTTTGTTCGGTCCACAGGGGCAGAACCAGGTCTGGCAAGAGACTTACTGGAAGGTAAGGTTTTGGGACACAGCCCTTTCCTATGTTCACTGCTTAAGGCAAGAACCAGTCATAAAAAGAGAACTCTGGTCCATGGAAACAGGTGTTTCTTAGTATTCTTGCTAAGTCAACTCTCATGATAAGCTGGCCATAGATTATACTAAGGCAGGGGTTTCCAACAAAAGCCTTAAAAACTTCTTAATGGTAGATTGCTGTGTTTTAAGAGTCATTCCCTAAATGTTTATGTGCAAGGGAGGGAAGGGAGGTCAATTCTGTCATATTCAGCTGCCTGAAAGTAGTTGTAAGAGTTTCTTACCTCAGTGTGCAAAGCAGGAAAGTTTAGTCTGAAGGAACTTATTGTAAAGTGATAGAGACACCAGAGATGTTTTTGGGGCCCAGTGATTAATCTGCCTATGTGAACTTCACACTATGGGAGTCAAATGACTATGTTGAAAAATATCTCAGAAGCCATATCAGAAAAATAACTCTGTCTGTCTATTTATTTATTTATTTATTTAATTAATTATTTAATTAATTATTTATTTGTAGATGGTTTAGATTTATAGGCTTAAAAGTGGAAAGACATAGTTGATATTTGAAGGTATTTTGTACCAATTGGCTTTGTTCATGTCTCAGTAACAAGGTGTGGTACATTATTAACACGGAGGCACACACAGTGCTGCAGAATTTCCCAGTCACCTGTTATATGTACTAAAACCTTGGAATACCTTGCTAGGAATATCAGCATAGGCTTGCTATATTTAGGAGCCCTCTGTTTTGTCTGACTGATTCAATCAGCCTGTCATTCTAGCCCAGAGTCTGTCTGGGTCTGACGGTCTTCTTGAAAAAGAATATGAGAAGGTTTTCTCGGCAGTGTCAGGACAGATTGTCACTTATTGTGCTGACAGAGCATTGCTAAAATTGGAAAAGGAGTTCCTACATATCAGAGGTGGTTCAGAAGAGTTACTTATTTTCCTTGTTATAAAGGGTAATGCTTCCAAATAAATATAGAACTTTTCTATGTTGAACTTCTCATTTCTGTAGATTTATAAATTCACATCATACTTACAAAGAGATAAGCAATAAGCAATTTATTATTCTGACAGGCTAATAGACATATGCATCTAGCCCAAATGATTTCCTCCTACACAGAAATTTCTCAAAGTAATCTTGAGAAGAGCAACCCCCCACCCCATGGTGCACAAGGCTGCAGGGAATGTTTGTACCTGGGCTTGCAATGATGAGGCCTGTAGTTTCAATCAAAGTTGGAAAACAGGTGTGCACAAATATTTTTCAGAACTTGAGAGGTTTGGTTGTTTGTAGCCCCAAAAGTGACTGTCATAGTGAAATCTGAGCCAAAAAAGCCCTGCTAGTGTAGACCCTCATTTCCATGTAATCACAAGTTTTGGGCAGTTCTCCTGTGGTGCCACAGCACTTCACTCTTTCTGACCTGCTCACAATTTCTGTTTTTGTAACTTGCTCAAACTGAATGTTCACATCATGCTTCTGTGGAGTGACATCTCTCTTTCAGAGCCATTGCTAATACTGTTTCTTTTATTCCTCTTTTTGGGGAAATTTCTTCAATTTCACGATCTTGTAGCTAATCAAGGATACCAGTTTCTGCTTCCTTATCCAATTATCTTAACATACTAATCATTTTGCTTTGTGCTGTGGGTGTAGCAGGACATTATTGTGGACAATATATGTGTTCTTCATCCTGGCAACAAATGGGTGAATTAAATACACACTGTTGTACAAATAGCTGAAAAATCTATACATTGCATACAGATTTTCTGCATTGCCAGGAGCTGTCCTGAATGTGGGCTCAGCTGATGTTTCTATACTCTGCCTATCCTGCTGGTAAAATCCCTGCAGTTTTCTTCCACTGAGCTTTTTATTGAGCACAGCTTCTTGTCTCACAGTCTCACTAAGACAATTCTCTGGTTTGCTTGACACATATCTTTCAGTAAGTGTCCATTCCAGATTTGAAATGGAGAGACAAAGAGATTTAAGAAAATACGTATATACACACACGTGTTGATTCTAATTTATTTGTCTCTGGTTATTTTTGCCAGCTATTTGTATCTTAAAATAAGTAATAATATGAATCAATTGCTTTTGTATCTAATTTTGATAAACTGAACATGTTGAGCTGCAAGTCTCGCTTTCAGTCTCTATATTTTCTCTGTCATTCAAAGCAATGTATACAGAATGTATAAAGAATGTATGTATGTGTTAGCTATTTTGGTTTTTTTTCAGTACAGAGATTGCCTTTTTGCCATCACATTGCATATGCTGTTGTTTATATTTTTGGCCAAGTTTGCTTTAGTACTGCACAGGGAGTTTGTAGTTAAGTCTGTGCTTGGTTCGACATTTCAAAGTTAGTAATTTTAGAATTCTCTACAATTGTTTAACTCTTATGGAACTCAGATTTCACAGACCTAAAATCTGAAAGGCATTTATTCAATGATATGAGAACTTATATCATGAACTTCTGTAAATGGATGTGAATGCAGACTTTTGAAGCTGCACCAAAATTAAAAATTAATTTGTTTTTCGTAGTTCTGCCTAAGAAATTAATTTTATTTTCATGAAATTGCTATGTCTGTGTTCAGGAAAGCCTTGTATCTGTCTAATCAGCAATTCATTGGTGGATAAAATTGCATTAGAAATGGCTTAGTTCATATTTGTCCAATGCACAAATTGTGTTTCATTCCTACTTTTCAAATAGTACTCATTGAGATTTAAAGGCCATTTGTAGTTAGTTCCTATTTGCTGTGTGAGACACAGCTGTGGGAATGACATATACAGGCTTGGACAAAGTAGAAAGCTCTGTGGAGGCAGCACGGGCTTAGCATTTAACAATACATAGACCTACACTTTAGTAAGTTATCTCTCTTAATTTTGGGGTTTTCTTGACTTTTCTTGAGTTTTGCAAAGAACCTTCCTTCTGGTTTATTTTGATAATTTGGTAGATTTATAAACAGCCCATTTCTGCTGTTAAACAAAACAGTTGAAAGTTGAGATTACAATATGAGAAATCATAGAACTATGTGATATGATTGATTCAGTGATTTTTATTATTAAATGGTATCTAAATATTTCAAAACTTAAGCCTTTCCGTAACTATAACAGTGGTGATGTTTATGACTGAATGTATTTTGTAAATACATTTGTGCTAAATAATAATATAGGCATAACAAAGAATGTTAATTTATAGTCATGTAGAGTTCTGTAAGTGGCATCTTGTAAAGGACAGGTGATGTTTGCAAGCAGAGGTTTTGATAGCACAAAGTCCTTTACCTTGTTACTCATATGCATCTATTAAAGATATAAACCCATAGGAGTAATCAAAGTTTATTCCCCTTTCTGTACTATGGATGCTCAGTAACTCAGTGTAATGAGAGCTTAGAGTGACTTTATAGGTTTAAAGGTGAAGACTCTTCTCTCCCCTTTCTCCCCTTGCTCGTTTTTGAGCATCCCAGTCAGTGCATGGCCATGTGTAGGGTGGGGACCCAAGGCAGCTGAGACCATGAGAGGAGTCCCCTCCTGGGGGAGCATGTCCAGCTCACTCGAACAGAAGATCTCCCTGCTCAGGAGGCTCCCATGTGCCCTTGCCTGTCCCAGTGGGAATGTGTGTGTGCCCACAGTGTGCCTGAGCCAGAGCTGAGCCAGCTGTGCCTGGGCTGAGTCCTTCAGATGATCAGTCTGCACATCCCCATCTGCCCTCCAGCAGGAGCTGCAGTACTCGGACTGCTCTGTTAGTTAATGCCAGTGTCTCATGCATAGGACACTTCAGGCTTGGTTTTGGTTGCTTGTTCCTCTTGGTACCTCTGTTTGCATTTTGTACTGAAGGACTTTTTCTTCCTCTGCTCAGCACTCCTTGCTTTCTTCATCTGGATGATGTCCTGGACCACCCTGACTATTTCCATCCTTCTCTTCAGTTGAAAGAACAGCTTTCTACCAGCCCTGCCACAATTTTTAGCTACTATTACAGCTGAATTATTAAAATGGGAAGGACAATTCTTTCAGCTTGGTTATGATTGGAAGACTTTGCAAAGCTCATCCTTCTTGTTTAGGACTCCAGGGAGGGCACTTGGTCAAGAGCTATTTACATCTTTATCTCTCATCCTGTAGAGACTTTAGACACCCAGCAGGAATTACCTTTTGAGAGCCTGCACATTAACAGATGAGTGTCATCAAATTCATGGCATTTCCAAGATATCATAAATCCTGATGTTTTTATCTCAATAATTACAAATCAACCAAAGAAGGATGAGTATGTCCCTATGCAAATAAAAGGACACCAAAAGCTTTTTGCTGACTGTACCAGATAATAAAATCATGGGTTGGGGAGAATATATGAGCAAATGTCAGCAAATCAGAGTGGAGAGTGACTGGGACAGTGGCTTTGGCTCTCAGCAGCATTTGGCTCGTTGGGAAACTGGATGTGACATTACACAGTGTGATGGTTCAGGAATCAGGTGTGCTTAAAGCAGATCACTTTGTACCAAAAGCATCTGCTACAGGCCTGCAGACCTGAGATCCTGTCTCTGTGCACTCTTATTTAGGAGGAAAGAAGACTAGAAGTTTGTCTCTCTTCCAAAAAAACCCACAACAGATTTATTCAATCAACTTGCCTGAAAACAAGAGCATTCCCATCACTGTAAATCTTACTCTAACAGCCTTTCATATAATTCCTTGAGAAAAAGGCTTCATTTTGAACTTGATCTTGTGCTCCAAGAGCATGGTGTGAACCTCTGTATCTTTTCCTAAGTTTAAAAACGCTTTTAAAAATTGCATTTAAATCTCACATTGAATCTTATGCACCAGGACAAGATTATTACCAATCCTTTCTCCCTATGTATTCCTCAAAACTGTATAACCCCCTGTTTTTAAAACTTAATGATTGTTGGTATTATTATCCTGTCTTTCATAAGGAACTTACTAACTATAGGAAACTAGATGGTTGAAAGTCAGTCAGATAATTTTTAGAAAGGACATAGTTTGGGGCA